CAAAACCAGAAGTGGTGCTGTGGCTCAAGTGGTAGACGCTAGCCTTGAGCTGAAGAGCTGAGGGACAGCGCCTAGGCCCAGAGTTCAGACCTCACGACCTGACCCCCCCCCCAAAAAAAAAAATTTATCAAGGCAAATGAACGTAGTCCAATACATACCAACTGAGTTTTCATCATCTTCTAGGATGTGACTTCGATGTCTAGAACGACTAGAAGCAAGTGTGAGGTCATCATCATTATCATCATCCAGAACCCCTTTTGAAAAAGAGGGAATCTCCACTGCACTGTCATGTAGAAAGTCTCCAGGATTACTTATATCATCATCTCCATCAAAAAGATCATTGTAATCCTTTTCCACTCTGCTTGATACCTTGAACAAATGAATATAATTTAGCACATATAAGTGAAACTCAACTAAAAAGCTATCCCTTTTTTGGTTTTGGTGGTTCTAGGATAGACCAAATGCCTTTTGCTCTTGATAGGAAAGTGCTCTCACCGAACTATATAGCCCCAAGAGACAAGTCTCTCAGAAGACATTCTCCCATTTACTTTTAGTTTACTTTGAGTCAAGATCTTCTTATATAGTTTTTTAGGATGGCTTGGAACTTGAGATCTCCCCATCTCAGCTTCTCCAGTGCTGGGATTACAGGCATGTGCCTGTATACCCAGCTTCACTTACCTTTTCACACATTTACTTTAAACCATCCCAGTTAAAGCTAGTTGGGAGTTTTTGTTGTTATATTTTTATGTTTAAAGAAACAAAGTGATAGAACCAATAGAAAGACAGGAAGCAAAGAAATTCAACATAAATTTCATTATTATTTTCTAGGAACATAAACATATAAACAGAAGTTAAATGTCATTGTAAACAAGTATTTCACTCACTTTACAAAGTAATCAGCAGATACATTTCAGAAATTATAAATTATTCCTACATGATGAAAGAAATTATACAAATGTTAAGACAATATAAACTTATAATTCAGGAGCATAAGTTTATCAGAAGACCACTAATAAAGAATATAGCATAAATGTTTCTATGGAAATAAATTGTTTTGTTCTTCACAGTATATATTTCTGTCATAATACCTGTCATCATTTTATATCCCTCATCATGAATATGAGGCAAAGACCCAATTTTCCAATAAGAAAATGCAAAAAAAATTTTAATTTGGGTTCATAAACTTTTAGGGCTAAAATGGCTAACTAACATTTTGTTACCATCTGTTCATTAAATTATGTTTAAACACATGAATTTAGAAGTACCTTTTCCTGTTCTCTCATTTTATTAAACATTGTCTGAATTCAGAATATGGGCCATTCTGACTGGGGTAAGTGGCCCATCAGCTGTACTGAGCATCCTGAAGAAAAAGAACTAAGCAACTCAAGGGTGGTGATGGGAGGAAGGGAATGAGAGAGAAAGAAGGAACAGCTGATACTAAGCAAAAGGAAAGTACATATCACCCGATATTTTTAAGAAATATCTCATTGTTAAAGTTTTTAGAGTTCATAAACTTTGTAGATTAAGGTGATGATGATTATCGTTGTGAAGGTTAAAATGTGACCTTAGCTAGGTATAACTATGCCACAGTATTGTGAAACATATGTAGAAATATTTGGAGAAAAAAAAAGAATATTGGCTTAAGACCCTTTTCTTACCAAGATAAGAAAATAACTAGTTTATTCAAGAATGTTAAAGCTTAAGAGCTTATATTCAGGTTTGGGAATGTGGCTTAGTGGTTGCTTGCCTACCATGCAGGAAGCCCTGGGTTTCATTCCTCAGTACCACATAAACAGAAAAAGCCAGAAGTGGCGCTGTGGCTCAAGTGGTAGAGTGCTAGCCTTAAGCAAAAGAAGTTCAGGGACAGTGCCTAGGCCCTGAGTTCAAGCCCCAAGACTGGCAAAAGAGC